CGTCACGCGCTACATCCTACGGAATAACCAGACTGGAGGTAAGTCTGCCTCGGTTTCCATCTTTTCTTTCATTCAGTGTGAAACGGTTGTTGCTGCGTATGGTCTAGTCTGATTGTCCTCCGGCCAGTAAAGGTAAAGTTAGTTCACTAAATTCGTTTCGTTATTGCTGTTTGAATCAAAAGGGACTGCTGAGCAGAAAATCAAGGTAGTAAATGCATCAGGTATGTATTAGAGCGTTTCATGCCTGCTCTTTCCAACGATTTCGCCTAATTTTTGGACACAATCTAGACTCCAGGTAAACAACATTAGAAAGAGGATTGAACTTAGGACGGGAGATCAACATGTAGCATGGCATGAAAGGAAATCTTTTTAAAAGAGCCGTCTAGTAAACTACAGCACTGTTCATGAAATCTTAGAACAGCTCGACACCACGCTCTAAATTCAGTACTTGAACATCACCATCCAGTCTGCAATGCTGTTACATTCTGGAGGCGAAACGTTGTCCCTTCAACAGGTCGCTGTCACACAGCTTTTATGAAAAAACAAACTGTCAAATAGTCTTGTCTCAGATGGACATTCGTGAAACATGTCAAATGTTGATCGCTAGTGAACAGAGAAAATTCCATAATGCTAAGATCTCGTGTTTCGAGGTAAAAATCGCGCTACAGGAAAAAATTAATATTTTGCTACCTACAGTGCCTGTAAAGCAACTGAACAACAACGGATGAGAGATATTGAACCTATGGTTGTACGACTTCTCCTGAGAACCTGCGTAGCGTCTTAAGGGGAGACAGTCACTGGATTGAAGGGATATCGTCATATATTTTCTCATCAAATATAGTGACTGTATAAACGGAGATGTGATGCAGGCAAAGGAAATATCTACCAGGCGTTAGGATAAAATTTAAAGAAACAAAAATAGCGTTCAACATCATCCGTTAACAGCTCTTTAAGTTTGAAACCGTTTTTTCTTTTGGGATGTAGAGACTACAGCAGCATTCATTATTCCAACGGTCTCCGTCCTTCGCTTATCGGGCATACTCAATGGGCTAGAACCGAAAACGCAACAGTGCCAAATCCTGCATATGTCATAGCCGTCTAGTCCCCGATCTGACCGTATACCGCTTTCCTACGGTTTTGCAAATGGGTTATGCCATGGGTGTCTCTACTGTATCTTGTCACATAATCTAGATCTGGGCCAAAGGAATTCCACAACTTAGGGTGTCTGAATGTTTTGAATCCTGACGAAGGTCTTCAGTAGTATTGTTTATTAACCTAATTAAAATGAAATAAATTAAATCAAAAGTTAATTTTTTGAGCGGGTTTCTTTTAACGTTTGGTAAGTTAAATCCAGTAAAGTTAAATAAATCTCTTCAGTTGTATTTTTCAAGAACCTTTCCGCTCATAGTTCCATGAACAGCGGACGATTTTTTCCAGCAATGCTTCAGAAACGGTTCTCATTCATCAGACGATTGTTGAGACTTCGTCAACAGCACCGTTTTAGTGCTCGAGGTATCATAGTTAACTTACTATTGCATCGTTTGTTTAAGGGATAAATGACACGCTACTTTTTCAAGAAGTAAATGCGTACAGTAACCCTTAATACTTCTGTGCAGTTTCATTCATTGAATGTACTGTAATAAAGACTTGCTCTAAAGCCCTGAAAATATTTGCCGTTATTCTTTAATAAACAATCGTTTTGACTCGCTACCGTCATAGTTTGACGTTTGCCAGCTTTTGAAGATGTAAAATCGAAAGTTTACGACCTTTCCATAGAAGACCAAATAATCTCACCTTCTGTTTCAGTAGCAGTGCCCATATAATAAACAGGGTTATGGACAAAACAGTAGTAGTTGGTCTAAACAGCAGCATTATATCACATTCTGGAGAACTGCGTTGTCGTTAATGGCCATATCTTTGGGAGGATTTGGAAATGAAATATCGTATATGCGGGCTTATACGAATACAGAGCAAAATATGTGGTTGTAAAGGGCTGCTTTTTTCGTAATTATTCAGCATGCTGGGTTCATTATTATGATGCATGCATTTCTGTTTAGAGGATAAGATACTTCATCTGACACCGGTGCAAGAGAAGGACAAAACTCATTTTACGGACAAAGAGACGGGCATCGAATTGGAGCTGGTGGAATCAATTTCGTTTCTTGAGTGGCTAGCAAATAACTACAAGACTTTCGGTGCCACTCTAGAAATAGTGACGGATAAGTCGCAGGAAGGAGCGCAGTTCGTCAAAGGTTTCGGCGGAATTGGAGGTAAAAAATTGAATATAAAAATATTTACATTATTGAGTATTTGTGAAATTCGCGTAAGTTAAATGAAAGCATAGTTATATTTCTTCGTTTTCTGATCCATGTTCAAGACAGCAGTTTACAAGAATGATGTAAAATCTTTTATTTACCGACATTGTCCTCAGAATTACCGTTTGTGATCATCAAATGATGACGCTGGTAAACTAAAGATTTTAAGTCGTTCTTCGAAACTGCTGCCTTGAACTATGAAAAATGTGACTGCTATTCCAACGGACAACGAATCGGTGTATATTAGTATTAGCAGATAATTGATTCTGAATTTGATCTTTTGCTAACTGTTTATTCGAAAAATAAAGGTCACAACGCTTGTACGTTTCTCTTTATTACTAAATATCCTTTTATTTTGCGTTGATATTTCTTTCATTACTGTTATTACGATTCATTTGATGTTTTTCCTGTTTTTGATCTAGTTTCACCAGAGGGAAACGGATTTTCTGACAACAATATTTGCTTCATTGTTGCTTATACTAAAATGCACATTCAATCTACAGCAAAAGTCATATCAGTTGTACAAACCACGTAGCCTTGTTTATTACCCATAATCTTTGAACTGATGTTAATAAATTTGTGGTCGTATGCTAATGTATGTTCACAAGTATGTAACTTATCCAGAGTCAGGTTCAGGTTTCCGGATGTATTGCATCGCTCATTTTGCTCTACATGTGCCTGAAGCTGTAGCCTGCTTGCACGGCCCTTCAGACATCCAGAAGTTAAAAAGCGATACAGTACGCCTTAAATTCGGTTTACTTGGTAACTCTAGGACTGGTAAATTTTGTTTCATTTGATAGTTAACTCAATATGCCACTGCTATAACTATTTTATAAATAAAATATTTCTTTTTTCCATGTTCAATCTAGTGTGTTCCTTGGGGCAGAGGTCAGTTGTTCGAGTCAACTGCCTCCACTTAAATAAATATACAGTTGACAGTTATGTAAAATAGATAAAAGCTCGTAGTTCATAAATTTCTGAAATATGGAGTTTGCATGCGTAGAAGCGTCTGAGTATTTTAAAGGACTGATAAAAACACTTAACACTAGCTTTTTTTCTAATAACCAAAAATACCGCTTAATTACATACGTACATTGATCCATAGATCGATACCAGCGTTTGGTCTAGTATCTTGGGGGCATTCTTTAAGGTATGGGTGACAGTTTTCTATTACTGGGTAGGACATTTGCAGCAAACTGTTCTCGGTTCCAAATGAACTGTCTGCTGTAGACAGCTTTCGCTTCAGTCGAAAACTGCTACCTCGTTTACCTTGAAGAATGCCCGTAAGATACTGTATCGCGTTATATATAATTATACTTTTTTCTCTGCTGTTTTTTGCGGTGTAACACGCACGAACAAACTATTCCAGCTTTCTAGTTAAACGATCTGATGGGAATAAACTGTCTATTTTTACTAGGTATATTACGGTATCGCGTTGACTTTACAACTCACGATCTTGAAGATGGAATAGCTGATTTTGACTTGGACGAATACTGACAGTGGCTGATGCGACGAACACGGCGCCACGGTCAGTCTCGAAAGGAAATCGTGAAAAATGACATACTGATTTTGATTTTCCCAAGCCGTCCACAGTCGCAGGAAACGAACGTCGTATTATCCACCGCAAAGCTAATTTTATACACTACCTTTGACTTGGTATGCCAGCGGTGGTTAGTGCTATCATTTCGGAGGAGACGAAATTTAACATTAACCGGACGGCCGCGGTCATCGATTTCATTCCGTGGTTGTTGGTTTGCATTCCAGCTTTGTTCGCGCCTCGGTCCGAGTCTGATGTTAGGTCGTCTTAACAAAAATCGAAAGATGTTTGTCGTTTTGCGTTGCCTCTTAAACTATATCACTTGATTGCGTTGAGCGTGGTGCCCTGATGTTCGGTCAATAAATGTTTTATTTCACTTATTATTTTGAATACACCTTTTCTTAAGAAAAATAAACCTTCACCATCGAAACACAGCTCGTATAGTTCCTGGTTAAAGGTGCCTTCCATCTGCATGCCTTTTTCAGCATCTCCAACAGGTGTCTGCCATTATCCGCGACCGTAAAGCGATCTATCGGTATAGCTATACATCATTACTGTCGTCGTAGATGTGTATCTTTTTGAAACGTGCTGGCAACTCCACCGCTGATACTTGCAATGGCCAAGCTCCTTCGAGGATGCCTGCCTGCATGGCCACTCCAATGCCTACCGCTAGTTCTGGGTCGATTCTGCAGTTCGGTGACTTATCGAAATATTCCGCGATAAGCTGACGAATTTTAGGGATCCTCGTCGACCCGCCAATCAAGACAATCTCGTCGATGTCAACTTTTGTTAGGTTTGCGTCTCTAAGAACCACCTCTATCGGCTGCAGCACTTTTAGGAACAAACTTCTGTTTACGTCCTCAAACGCTGTTCTCGAAAGATTGTACTGTAGAGTAGCCGTGGGCACCGTGTGTAATGACGTGAACGTGAGATTCACAACCGTATGCGTTTCGTACGTCAGGGTCAGTTTGGCAGATTCCGCTGCTGCACGTACAGATCGAAGCTCAGCGTCATCCTCAACGCTAGCGCCGAATTTCACACGAATCACATCTAACAAATGCT